GAAATTAGAATAAATAAAATAAAAAAAAGGAAAAAAATAGTACTAATTAATTAATTAAAATATTAATTAGTTAAAATTTCAACGTACAAATAAGGTATTCCTTTCTGTTCGTCGTGTCCACGTGACGGAGCTTTCAACGCCAAACGATAATTTCCAAACGACTTATCAGTGGACATTAAAACCTCCAAATTATGGAACTTTTTATAATAAGATTTGCCTTTTAAAAGTTCACGTGTTCTACGAAGGCGCGTAATGGGAGAAGAATTTATTGCAGCGATTATGGCCATTAATGTATTGTAATTATTTGATTCACGTACGATCTGATTGTAAAAACAAAAAAAATTAAAGGTTGGAAATTAGAAGTTGGAAATTAGAAATTGGGCCGTGATATTTTATTATAAAATAAAAAATATGTACCACTGCAATTTTCATAAACTTTTTGAGCATGGCCGCTCGATTTTTCAATTTTTCTTGTGATAGTATCATTGTTGAGACCCTAAAAAAAGGATTAAAATGAGAATCACTTAAATATTTTATGACTTGTATAATTTATGAATATAAAATTAAAGTAGGGTTAAGCATACCAATTGGAAATAAAATTAAAGTGTTGAATGGACTTTGCAACACGTCCATTCCCACGTTGGATGCTTCCTTGTGGTGTCCAAATATGTCTCAACAAATCTCTACCCTATAAAATTTCGAAATAGAAAAAAAAAATTAGTATATTATAAAGGTTATAAAAATTGAGACGAATTATACAACAATTCTTACAGAAATTTTTTTAAATAGCTGAAATTCTTGGTAAGTCAACTCATTGGCGATCGCCTTTTCGGGTAACTCATCAAAAGTTAATTGACTCATAGGCCTTCCTATAGAGCCATCAGGGACAATTATTAACGAAGATTTTTGAAGAGGCTGACTGCTCGTACGATTATTAACTTGTTGAACCGAGAGGGATAAATCAGATTGATGATCACGACTAAATTGAAGATTATCACGACTATCAAAATAAGTCCAACCACCAAAACCACTATCTTTCTTTGCATGTGGAATTATTGTAGAGTTCATATTTTTATGTTCCACATCATGTTTGATGAGTTTCTCATCAGTAGTGTCCACAAAACCCCAAAACATGTCAGGATCATCTTCAGGTATAGTTCCATTAATCAAAGGATCAAGAATTATAGCATAATATGAAAGATGTGAACAATTTGATATAGTTTCAAAGAATTCACGCATCAATTGTCGTGTTTGATGATGAATAAGATCATGTGGATTCTGTGTTATCCAATGATATAATAGATTACATATTTTCTCATGTGTTTTATTTCTCCTATCTCCCGAATCATGTTGGCGCTCCTCGAATCTGTAAAGTAATTATAAAGTAAGTATTTGCATATAAAAAGAAAAGTAAATGATATATAGTAAAAGACATTATAAAAAATATTAACTTTTTCATTAATTTAATAAGGACATCTCGAGGTCTCATAAATGCACGATAAACAACAAAGAATGTTATGGTAAATGGATCATCTAAATAATATAATAAAATAGTAATAAATAAAATAATTATAAATAAAATTCATTCAATTATCTACTAATTTTTATCCGAAGGACATTACGGTAGAACTATGGAATTTTGATTGGCTGGTCGGACTGATCCGTGATCTGTGTTCATTGTTTCAATCAGCCAATCAAATTCCTTCGGACTTACTAGTTAATTAATAAATTGATTTCTTACCGTGTGTACCATATTGACCTCCAACAGTTAATCTTTGAATTAATTCATCTATAGTCAATCCATC